CAATCCTCTCCACACAGACAAACATAAACACACTCGACTATCACTAAATCAAATTTAACACACGTTTGTAATGACGCTAATTCAGTTTACAATGGGGTTCATTCGCTCAGTCAGCAGGTGGCAGTATCCTCATACACTGGGGAGTAAACTGCCATTAAAATAACAGAAGAAGAAGAAAACCCCTGCACATGCGCGGTACGGATCGGGTAGACCCGATTTGTACGGTCCGACTTTGCACATGTGCAGTAAGGATCGGGGAGTCCTGATCCATAACTATCTTTTTATTTTTTGTTTTTGTCTTCATTATATTGAAATGCTTCATTATTGGAAACATGTTAAGAGATACTTATTATTCTTAACATCTTAACAGATACTCTGACCCATAACTATCGTAAAATGCTTCAACCGGATGTAGACACCTTTCGCGCATGCGGAGTACCGATCGGGTTTCCGGTACGGATCGGGTAGTGACACAGACTGTATCTTCTGATACATCAGAGTACATCACTCATTAATCCAACAAATGTGTCCAAGTAAATCCAGCCTCACGGCTTCATTTACCAAACTGCATCTACATGAATTCAATGAATGTACTTGGTGGTGTCGGGCCATATGTAAAGATTTTCCAACCGACACCCGTCAGTCCAATAATCGGCGATGGGCGATACAGTCGCGCATGCGCAGACTTTTTGATGGGTGATGTAATCATGCACGGACTGATTTGCCCGTTTACAACACAAAAGTTCAAACATGGACGAACTAATTTCCCCCCAAATTAGGCCTGTCGTTGATATGTTCGTCCGGTCCAACCCTCGTGCTTGGCGTTGATCCTCTTTATGGCTGTTTGTGGAAACTTGAACTCCAGATTTTCCATGTTAAACAAAAGTCCGTCATCTGTGAAATCTTCAAACATTCATAGACTGAATGTCGTGTCATATCATCTATATTTACCTTTTTCCTCAACTATTTCCCTTCTTTCATTCTACAAACATCTTCAGTAATGGTTTCCAGTCTGCTAATATTAGCGCTGTACCTTAACGTGTGACTGTTTTGCGTCTTAGATGTTTGATTGATCATAATCAGGTTTGAATATGAAGCGACTCCAAAAATAGTATTTTTGACAGCTAATCAGGGCGCGTAAGATTATGGAGCATTTAAACCTCTGCGGCTGAAGATGAAAGCAGTAAATTGTGTGTTTCGAGAGACAAACAGCAACTCTTAACAGAGTCCCCATGTGTTTGTTGTGACTGCTGTCAGACCGAGTGTGCGAACAGCATCGACACGCACGTGGTGGTGGCCGGGGAGCGGATGCGAACCAAACCTCTGATTCCTGAGATGTGTTTCACCACCACCACAGAGGACGACGCCGAGTGTGAAGAGCAGCCGCTCACTCCTCGTCTGGAAGAAGATGGAACCAGTCTCCTCATCAGCTGCTCACAGTGCAGCGTGAGAGTTCATGCATGTCAGTACACGCATGTGCGCCTGCACACACACACACACACACTCTGCAAGTAGGAGTGTTAGTTTATATCTAACCTAGCCTTGTTTGACATATGAGTGTTTTCATCAGAGGCTTTTCCTGCTTTAAAACGAGTCTTTAACCCTTTAAAGCCGGTCAGAGCAGCACGCTCTGTTTTGTTTAACTATTTTTAAATCCTTGTAGCTCTGCAACCACGTGAGCTAGCGCAATAATTTTTTTTGCATATGAAACCGGAGGAGTTGTACTTACATCTTATGCCATCAGCTTGTCCTCGGTCACAGTTTCCTTCCACATATAACTTTGCAAAAACTGCATAAAAAGCACTTGCAGCAACAAAAACATAATATTCCCGAAACACGCTTTGCCAATCTGATCAGCTGTTCATAACACTTCCTATGTTGGAATAGACGTCAGCGCGAACTTTTGCATGTCCGCCATGACCTGCCCGAAACCGGAAGTGATGTCATTTTCGCGGAAAATGTAGGTTTTTTTACCATCAAGGCCTCATGAGCCTATACTGGTGTTTTTAAAAGTTATCTTTGACTTTATGACTTTCTGTGTGGTTTCTGGGATGCTTAGGACTCATATTGCACTGCTGGAAATAGTTTATTTTGATGCATATGCTGCTTTTTTGCAAATTTGCACTATAATATTTATTTTTGTTTTTCCTGCAGTATATAAAAATTGGTGTATTTCAAAAATAAAACTATGAAGACACTCAAAATAAATTTCCTGTGGTGGGAAACTATTTCTTGCAACTTTTTTGTATTTACAGTTTTGAGGGATAAGCCTCTTAAATTTCTCTAACTAGAAATATATGTTAAAAAACAAAAACGATTTTCAATTTTTTTGTAGTTTATTGCACTTTTTTGCAATTTATGTAATTACTATGCACTTAATGCAGACATATTATTAAAATTTGGGCTATAATGGTTGTATTGATGTATAGCAACTTGAAATGCTCCCAAAAATGGCTCCACAGCATGTAAAAATATAATATAAGCTCTGGCGGACTTGGTTCTATGGTAGGTCTTAAAGGGTTAAGTGTGACTACTCTACGCACAAATGATGTTTCAGCGAGAAGAAGACTTTTTGTTTCAAAATAGAGTTGATCAAAATGACCAGAGAAGGAAAGAAATAACAACAAGGAATTAAATTCAAAGAAAAAAATAGAATATGAAGTCTTTTACGCTCCCGAGTAATCATTTCATTACGAGTTTGAACCAATGCAAAGACCAAACAAAACATTTCATACACACATTTATCATATCATCAGTTATTAATCATGTTATTAGTTCTTCAGTGTTTCACTAACGTCTCAAAGTTTGCATTTCTATCTTCCAGCCTGTTACGGTGTCGATCCAGCCAGTGTGAACAAGGAGTGGAAGTGTGCACGCTGCAAGGCCAACGCCATGACTGAGGTCAGCCAATAATTGTGGCTGTTTTTACTTTTTATCGAGCCGTGCAAGTTAGCATGAATCCCGTTGGTAGGCAAGGGATTTGTTTCCTAATGGCTTCTAAAAGTGGAACTGTCCATCCCTGCTTCTTCACAAGTCCCATATTCCAAATCATGGGTGTTGAATTATATTAATTTAGTAGATGTGAGAGATGATTTTACAGTTACGTGTTTGCCACACCAGAGAGAAGAAAAAATGTCACTTTTTACAGCTTGTAGGTGGATCATGTGATACCTTCGGGGTTACAAGCAAAAGATTACTTGCCTAAAACAATCAGATACATTAAATGTTACATCAGTTTATAATTAGCTCACATCTTGATAATGTACTGATATGCACCACTGCATGAAACACATTATTATAAATAGAGACTCAAAGGAGAGACTGCTTTGAGTCCGTTAAATTTATACTCTAACACTTTGGTAGTGCAGGGTTACTGAATGAAGAAAGGATTAGGCTGCTAATTACTATTTATGAATACAATACACACACACACACACGAATAAAGCAGTCAATCAGCTTGACTGCTTTCAGCGGGGTGATATCTCCCCCCTGACCTGTCGTCCTGGCTCCCCGTTGCCGTCTCGTCCCCGGGCAGGGACGATATATAGACAGAGGGAGTATTTGTTATTTATTCATCAGGATTGAAATATTTCTGCCTACACGTGTGGTTGTCATGTTTGATCATGTGATTAAACAGTGAATTAACTGCCTTGTTTATCACAGTTTAGAAAATAAATTCAGTGTTTCAAAGATTCATCACGGAGAGAAAGAAGTGTGTGTGCAGTCATTTCCAGGTTTGCACCTTTTCTTGAGCTCAGCTGTGACAGAACCTGAAACGACTGCAGGCTGACTTCATCACAACTGTGTGAACTTAACGTGACACGACTGTAACAGATGTTCATTAATATGTAAAAGACGAATACGTAAGCTGTAATGTGACAGTGAGGAACTTAAACAGATCCATTGGGTCCTAGAGGTG